CCCCACCGCCACCCCTACCAGGCATGGGGTGCCCACCCCCACCGCCACTGCCCGTCATGGGCTGGGGCCCCCCTCCACCGCCACCCCTGCCAAGCACCTCTGGTCCCCCCGCAGCGGGTGGTGTGGAGGAGATCATTGTAGCCCAGGTGGACCACAGCCTGGGCTCTGCCTGGGTCCCCAGCCACCGGCAGGTGAACCCCCCCACAGTGCGCATGAAGAAACTGAACTGGCAGAAGCTGCCATCCAATGTGGCACAAGGTGGGGGCCCTGGGTCCCCACAGATGGCTTTCCTCTGGAGGTGGGGGGCTGAGCCCTGCTGGGAAGGACGGCAGGTACCCATGGGCATGGGCGTGGGCCAGGGCAGACCTGTGAGGGCAGGGGACAGGAACGGGCCAGAGGCCACCTGTGAGGACCCCTCCCTCCCACACGTCCTGTAGGCTGATGCCACAGTCCCTGTACTGCCCCTGGCTGGGTGCTTGTTACCCTGGGGGCTGGGGCACTGTGCTCAGAGGTCACTGCCAGCCTGGACTCGTGCGTGTGTGGTCCACACGTGCACACGGGGCGCCGGCAGATGGGGGGCTTCCGCTGCCGGGCCACCAGCCTCTTGGCCCCTGGACCTGACGGATGCCTCACCCACAGAGCGCAGCTCCATGTGGGCCTCGCTGAGCGGCCCGGGCTCCCCCGTGGTGGAGCCCGACTTCTCCAGCATCGAGCGGCTCTTCTCCTTCCCCGTGGCCAAGCCCAAGGAGTCCGTGGTGGCCCCAGCCAGAAAGGAGCCTAAGGAGGTGGGGCCTGGGCTGGGGCTGGGGCTCAGACCAGGTAGGGGGGGCTCTGTGCCACTGCCGGGCACCAGCCCACGGGCGGGCTGTTTTCCAGATCACTTTCCTGGACTCCAAGAAGAGCCTGAACCTCAACATCTTCCTGAAGCAGTTTAAGTGGTGAGTGTGATGATGGGGCGGGCCAGTGACTCAGGGCCAACCCTCCTGCCAAGCCTTGCCTTGCCGTCCCGGCCCCAGGCTCCCCCAGTTCCCCATGCTCCCCAAACCACCCATCTCGGGCTCCGCAATGCCCTCTGCAGGCCACCCCTGTGAAGTGCACATCCTGTCTCTGGGGCAGGAGATGGTGAGTGGGGTGATAGCTACAGACTGCCCCAGCTCCGGACACAGACCCCCAGTCCAGACTCCCTGGAGAAATACCCAGAGAGTGGCTGATACCACAGGCAGGTGACAGGCAGCCAAGCCAGAGTGAGGACCTGGCCCTGCCTCCCAGCCCCCAGGCCTTTCCTGCAGGCATCAGGCACTGGCTCCTGTAGGGGGCTGCCGGGTGCTGCTGAGTGCTGCTGAGCCTGTGTCCTAAGCAGCCCCCTGGAAGGGGAGGCAGAAGGTGCTCTGGCCGAAAGAGAGTGGATTGTTCAGCCCCAGCCTCATTGCTGTGTGACCTGGGCCAGTGGCTCACAGACTCTGTGCCCCCAACCTCATGGGTGTGGGAGGATACCCTGGTGTGACCAGCACAGACATCCTAGGCCGAGGGCTGTCCCCGCCCAGCTGGCAGGGTCCCTCTGCCACTCCCCACCCCACCCCTACCCGTCCTCTCACCCCCTTCAGTTCCAACGAGGAGGTCACCGCTATGATCCGCGCAGGGGACACCACCAAGTTTGACGTGGAGGTGCTTAAGCAGCTGCTCAAGCTCCTTCCTGAGAAGCATGAGGTCAGCAGGGAGAAATGTGGGCCGGGGTGGGGGGCTTGCGGCAGGGAAAGAGAGGGGAGGGCCGGCTGCACTCCTGGCCGCTGTGCGCAGATGTGAGTGGCTGAGGCCAGCAGGCAGTCGGGGGGAGGGAAGCTGGAATCCCATGCGTGGGCCTCCTCCCCACAGATCGAAAACCTGCGTTCCTTCAAGGAGGACCGAGCCAAGTTGGCCAGTGCCGACCAGTTCTACCTCCTCCTGCTGGGAATTCCCTGGTGAGCTAGGACTGGCCTGCCCGGGCAAGGGCAGCAGCTGGGCACAGGCCTGCCATCACCCAGGCCCTCCTGGGAGACCCCAGCCCAGACCCGCCTGCTCTAAGAGGGAGGGGTGCCCCGCAGGGAGGCGACTGCGCATCTGAGGCACCTGGGTGCTGGCCTGAAATGCCCCTTCCTGGGCCCCACCCAGGTCCTGCCTAGTGCGCCCCTGGCCCAGCCCGGGAATGTAGCGCATGGACAAGTGTGGGGCCCCCAGCTCTGTGCTGAGTGGAGCCGTGGGCCTCGGCCCCCGGGCCCTGACTGCCTGCTGTGCCCCCAGCTACCAGCTGCGGGTCGAGTGCATGCTGCTGTGTGAGGGCACGGCCGTCGTGCTGGACATGATACAGCCCAAGGCCCAGCTGGTGCTCGCTGCCTGTGAGAGTAAGTGGGGCCCGGAAAGCCGGGGGGGCAGCAGCAGGGGGTGCCCACCCAGCTCCCTGTACCACCAGCATTGCGACAGCTGCTGAGAGCCCCTGTCCTTCCTCGCCTCAGAGACCACCACCCCAGCTCTGAGGCACACCCCGCACAGATACATGCACGTTTGTGCATGTGCAGACACACACACAGACACATGCACACACACCTCTGTCTGAGTGAGTCAGAGGGACTTGCCGCAGCCGTGGGGCGGGAATATGGGTGGGCCTGGCCCCTGAGGTACAGCCCGTTTCTGCTGAGGACACACGCAATAGACGTCCACTCCATCCTGGCCACAGAGCCGAGAGGGCCACCCTCCCTGAAGCCCACGGGACAGTTAGCTGAGCACCAGGCCAGCTACAGGTTCTGGAAGGCTCTGCTCAGCGTCCTCAGCCCCGGAATGGGGTGGTGGTCATCTGCCCCCCCAGGGTTGTGAGGGTTCAGCAAGCGCTAACACTGGGGGGTCTGCTTCTGGAGCCCCCCAAGCTTGCCTGTGGTGGGGGTTCCAGCCCGAGCCTGACCTCTCCTGCAGGCCTGCTCACCAGCCACCAGCTGCCTGTTTTCTGCCAGCTAATCCTGAGAATCGGGAACTTCCTCAACTATGTAAGTGGCTGCGCCCCAGCCGCCCTGGCCCCACCCCCAGGAGTCAGGGAGACTCACTGCTGTCCCTCGCAGGGCAGCCACACTGGGGACGCCGACGGCTTTAAGATGAGCACGCTGCTGAAACTCACAGAGACGAAGGCCCAGCAGAGCCGCGTGACACTGCTGCACCACGTGCTGGAGGTGGGGCTGGCGGGGCTGGACCGCCTGCCGGGCGCCTCCCTGCTCTTGGGCCACTCTGCCGGGCGCCTCCCTGCTCTTGGGCCACTCTGCCCGCAGCCCCTCGTGGGAGCCCCCCCTATTCGAGCTTCCTGGTTCCCCCGCCCCATCCTCCAGCTCCCATCCAGGCCCAAGGGAAGGGTGTGGGGGCCCCTAGCTGCTCAGGACTGGGGGGCAGGAGGCAGGGGGCTCGGGCATCCTCAGGGCCAAGGCGTGCCCACAGCAGGTCTCACTGGACATGTGCTGTTGCAGGAGGTGGAGAAGAGCCACCCAGACCTCCTGCAGCTGCCACGGGACCTGGAGCAGCCGTCCCAGGCGGCAGGGTAGGTGTCCCCTGCCCCATGCACCCTGCCCTGCCATCTCCTGGTCCCCGCTAGCAAGGTGGCCAGGCCAGGCTGGGTCTCATGGCTGCAGTACAACCCGGGTCCCCCAGGAACCGCTGCCCGATAGAACGATCACTTTTTCTTTGGGACAGAACCTTGTGTCCACTGTGGCGTGTCCCGTGTGACTCAGAGGAGGAAACAGGCCTAGAGGGGGCAGGAAGTGACCTGACTCTGGTCACACTGGGGGCTGGTCTAACAGCCTCTTTAAAGGTTAACCTGTGAGCAAGGCTGTGATGGAACTGAGGCCCAGCGAGCAGGGCCGCATCCATGGGGCCACAAAACCCACGGGGGGCAGCTCTGGGAAGGCAGCCCAGGCTGTCTGAGCCCAGGGTCCATGCTGCCAAGGACAGTTCTCTGGTCCCGGAGCTGCTGAACCTCAAGAGGGGTCAGGCAAGGATAGGCTGAGCCCTTGGGGTCCCTGATACTGCAGGCCCAGCACCTGCTATAGCAGGTGAGTAGTACCTCTCCCCACACTGCTCGCCCGTCCCAAAGCTCTGACGTGCTGCTGGCAACCTGCGGTGTGCAGGACGAGGGCCCAAGTGTCCAGTAGGCTGGACATTAGCTGTCACCTAACTCCACCTGGCTCTCGGTGGCTTCTAGGATCAACCTGGAGATAATCCACTCGGAGTCCAGCACCAACCTGAAGAAGCTTCTGGAGATGGAGCGGAAGGTGTCCTCTTCCATCCCGGAGGTGCAGGAGCAGTACGCCCACCGCCTCCAGGCAAGTGTGGTGGGCGGTGCCCTGGGCTGGGGAAGGACTTCCAGGGGCTGAGTGTGGTCTGCCAGTCCCCACCCCTTCCAGGCCTGGGGTCCGCAAGGTAGGACAGTGACTGGGTGGGCGGGACAGGTGACCGTGGGGAGGGGAGAGCCAGAGAGATCAGGGACCTCGACAGGAGGGCAGCTCTGCTGTTTGGGGCCCCAACGTGATCCTGGGGGCTGCAGCGCTCAGACCCCTGGTCCTGTGCCAGTGGCTGTCACCCGCTTGCAGCCCCGGGCCATGCCCGGGGAATCCAGCCATGGGCCCTCACAGGGCTGTGACCGTGCTTTCTCCCAGGCCTGCATCGAGGCCTCCCGGGCACTAGAGGAGGTGTTCCAGGCCATCGAGCAGAAGAAGCTGGCACTGGCCCGCTACCTGTGCGAGGATGCCCAGCAGCTGTCCCTGGAGGACACATTCAGCACCATGAAGACCTTCCGGGACCTCTTCGTCCGCGCCCTGAAGGTGGGCGGGGCCGTCCTCAGGCGGGCAGGCACGTGCGCCCATTGAGGGCTGGGGTCACGACTCCGTGTCCCCCCCGCACAGGAGAACAAGGACCGGCAGGAGCAGGCCGCCAAGGCAGAGAGGAGGAAGCAGCAGCTGGCCCAGGAGGAGGCGCAGAGGCCGCGGGGCGAGGACGGGAAGCCTGGTGAGGCCAGGCCCGGGGTCGGGGTGGGCCGTGGCGGGCAGCCCCCCCGTGCTGTGGCCACTGTTCCTCCTCAGAGTCACACAGGGCTGCCTGTCCACTGTGGGTCATCTCTCAAGGCCGCCGGGTGGGTCCCGGGGACCCTGTGAGCAACATCTCTGAGTGTGTCTGGGCGTCTCAGTCAGGAAGGGAGGCAGGCAGCAGGAAGAGGTGTGTGTCATCGACGCCCTGCTGGCTGACATCAGGAAGGGCTTCAAGCTTCGGAAGACCGCCCGTGGCCGAGGGGACCCAGAAGGGGCCAGCAGGGTGGTGGCTGCGGAGCCCCCGAGGGACAGGGCTTCTGGTGAGACCCTCAGTCTTCTTCCTCACCATTCTCTTCCTGCCTGTACCATCCTTGCAGCCCAGTGCCTCCCTTCCTCCAGGGAGCCCTCCCTGATCTCAAAGGGGCGCCCTCGCCTCTTCCCTGCCGCCCTGAGATAGGTGACAGCTGTGAGGTGGGGCGAGAGAGGCCGCTTGCCCCAACAATGCTTTCACGTGTCTCTGCTAAAACAGAGGGCTACCCGGCTGGTGTGATAGCCATCTGTCTAGCCCCTGCAGTGGGCAGGAGAGAGGGGGCAAATGGGTTGGTTGGCAGATACCCCTGGGGCTAAGAGGGGCCGAGGTGGTGGGAGAGGCAGCGTGAGGCCTTGGGGTGCGCCTCCACTCCTGGGGGCGGCTGCTGTGGGGGCCCTGGAAACAGGTGGCATACGCCACTGTCTTGGGACTCAGTTCCCCTGCTGTCCCCCACTGTGGACAGACAGGATTTCAAAGCCAGGCCCACCCTGTGGGAACCCTTGCTTGGAGATCACCAGGGAAGGCTCCCAGGGGTAGGGACATTCAGATCGAAGCTGACACGGAGGGAGGCCCCCGCCCCATGCCCTCTGCCGACATGTACTCCATCCACAGTGGCCGCCAGTGACCCCACAGGAGGCCCCGTGGGAGGCACCAGCTGCCCTGCCTCTGGGCCTGGTGTTGACACTACAGTGGCCAGGGAGCCTCAGGACTGGGATCTCGTGGATGCCACCGCCTCCAGCCCAAAGCCTGCTGGAGACCTGTCGGAGGAGGGCGGCCCCGGTCCCCAGGAGAGACGCTCTTCCTGGTACATCGATGCCAGCGATTTCCTGTCTGTGGAGGACCCACATGGCCCCCAGCCGTCTGCAGGGCCCTGGCCGCTGGTGCTAGGGGACGCTAAAGCCCTGAAGCCTCTTCAGTTCTCCAGTGACAAGCTCCCTGGGGCCATGGGTTCGAGCCATGACCCTGAGGGCCTCACAGCCCCACGGGGCATCTGCCAGGCCGAGGCCATCAGCACAGGCGAGGGATTGGAGGACACAGCTGCCCACAACCGCGGCACCAGCCTTCTTGCCACGGGGCCCGGCGGGGAGGAGGACGAGGAGGACACGGCCCCAGACTCCACTCTGGACACATCCCTGGACAGGTCCTTCTCCGAGGATTCGGTGACCGACTCTTCAGGGTCTGGCGCCCTCCCCAGAGCCCGCAGCCGGGCCTCAAAGGGGACAAGCAGGCGAAGGAAGAAGCGCCCGTCATGGAACCAGGAAGGTAACGTGGGGCCCGTCCCGGAGCAGGGGACCCAGGTGGGCGAGTCCTGCAGGGCTTGGGGCACTGGCAGGTGCTCTCTGGGCCTCTCCCTCAGCCAGCCGTCCCCCCTGCCCACCAAGAGTGGGTGACTCCCAGGGTGTCCTACATCCTGCAGGAGAGGAGGCAGCAGCCGCTGCCCCAGGAGAGCAGCTTTGGGGGTCGCCACCCAATGGCTGCACCCTAAGCCACTAGCTCCTGCCTGCAGCGGGAAGGCTGCCCCGCCTGGGGCCTGGGGCGGGCTGCATTTTGGCCCAGTGTCCGAGTTCAGGTTGCTCGTGAGCGACAAGCTGTTGAGTGCATGTCTTTTATTTGAAAGCAGAGGTTGCCCCTGACTCTGACGATAATAAACCCAAAAGATTCTGTGTGATCCAATAAGGTAGGTGCTCGGCCTGGCGCTCTGCACTAACGGTGGTGATGGAGGCGGGGCCCGCGCTCGCGCCCCTGACACTAACCCCTGGCCTCCCTGCAGCCCGCCTTTGCCGCTTATGGTGGGACTCGCCTGGCCCCCCACTCCAGGGGGCGGGAGCCTTGCTTAGCTGGTGTCGGGCGCCTCCGCTGTGGCAGGTGCAACCTCAGAGCTGCCCGCTGGGCAGTTGGGACTCGAGAGGGCGGGTGGACAGGGCCCACTTGGGCAGCGTCCGGGAGCAGGGCTCCAGGACCTGGGCCAGGGGCGGTTTGGCCTCCCAGGCCTGGCAGGACAGGCTCAGGGTGCCCATCCCGAACCCTGACTAACCCTGGGCTTTGCTGACCCAGGGCAGCACCTTTACTCTGAGTCTGTCCACAGGGCACACCCCAGACCCCCTCTGGCCCTGGTGTTGCCACGCATGCCCGCAGGTGGCAGTGAGGGACAGGGATGGCCCCAAGGACAGGCTGCCAGGGACAAGCAGGCCGAAACGCCCCGCGGTGGGGTCTGAGGCCTGCTCTCCCTGGAGGCCAGGTCTTGGACACAGTGAGTGGGTCTGTTTAGATGTAGGCGCTCCTGGTGAGCAGCACTGGGCCTCCTGGGACCCCGCCTGTGGCCAGGACAGTCAGGGTCATTGATGTGGCCCGGGAGGCTCACAGATGCAGCCACACAAACGGGCCTGGGTCCCTGCTGTGCCCGGCCTGTGCTGGGTGGGGGGACATCTAGTGCAGGGACCCACCACCTCCCCCCACAGATTGTGAGCACCATGAGCAGGGGGCCATCTGTCCCCCACACCCCTCCAGCCTTGCCCAGGTGGGCCCGGCGTCCGGCTTGGTGCCACAGCCTTGTGCTGACTGACTGGGCAGGGGGCTCAGGACCCAGAGCACAGCAGTGAGGCCTGGAAGGCACCACAGGAGGCAGGAGCGTGCAGCTCTCTCTACAGTTTACACGCACTGCTGGCCCAGCCTTTACTCTTGGTCCGGGGCTGGCCCCGGTTACTTTCTGAGCTTGGCTGTGGTGTGAAACACCAACGTGCCCCTTAGAACAGGGCTGGCACGTCCCTGAGGGGCCAGGATTTGGCCTTGTGGCCCGGCTCCTCGCCCCAGGAATGAGGGACAGTTGGGCTGTGCGGCCTGTGGGTTCGAGGGCTGGCAGCCACGTGTGGCCACTACAGCGAGAGATCAGCCTGCCGGGCGTGTGACCCCCCGGTCCGTGGGCACAAGGGTCAGCTGTGCCCTGCCCAGCCCTGTCATCCCCATGGCTGAGGGCAGGAGGAAGCCATCCCACTTCCTGTCTCCCCAACTTTTTTGGAAAAACTTCAGCCCAACAGAAAATTTGTGAGGAGATTAAAACAAATACTACTTGCCTTTCACCCTGAAACGACAAAAAGTTGCAAAAAAAAAATGCAAAATTATTCCTATTTGGTGCATTGCCCCCACAACTTTACTGAACAATTTGAGTTACTTATAGACATTATGGCCCCTGAATTAGCCCCAGGGGTCTCCTGGGAATAAGGCCCTTGTGTCCAGGACAGCCAGGCAGTGAGCACACCAGCTCCTGTCACTGTGCCTCTCACAATCCCCTGCAGCCAGGGGTCCTGGTCACACCTGCATAGTTGTTGATTTGGGTCATCAGCCAGCCGCTTTCTGTACTGTGTGACACTGGTACCGTGGACGACACCGCCACTTTGGGTGTATCCTGTTCTCCCCACCCCCCACCACCACCACCACCACCACCACACTGGGTCTTGGATGCCTTCTGGGGCAGGAATTCTATACCTGTGACACGTGTCCCGTCCCCCCCAGAGCATCTCAGGAGGGGCTCGGGGCCGTTTGTCCTGTGCTTACTGATGGTAACGCCGATTGCCAGGTTGAGGTGGTGATGGCGGCAACCCCTGTTGCCCAGTGCCATTTTCACACTGTGATTAGTGGTGCCAGGAGTGACTCTCCCAGTTTGCATGGAGGCTGCAAAACGGTGGTTTGTTCCATCATTCCTTTTAATTACGTGAGTCTTACGTGAGGGTGACCCATCACTGTGGTCCGTGGTGATGCGCCCGGGGGCCCACACTGCCCCTGTTCCCTCCGTTCTGCTCCCTTCACCTTGCCCTGCCCTGGGCCTGGCTGTTCCCCTGGCTCTTAGTCCTGGCGCCCTGCCATAGACAGTGGGACTGACTCCGCCGAGAGTGACGTTTTGACCATCTGTTTCGGCCCTACTTGCTTCCTGCAGTGGTTCTCAAACCCGCAGCTGCCCAAGACCCCCAGGGGCCTGGGATAGCACTTCGCAAGGCATTTGGAGGGAACAGCAAGCAAGGGCCCTGGACCAAAGAGCACAGAGGGTGTCAGATGGACAAGTGGGGAGGCCGTGCAGGTGGCGGGAGCCAATGGGCAGGGCCTCCACGCCCTTAGCATCCAGCTGGAGAAAGGACGGGCAGGAGGAGTCCAGCGGGAGGGCTAGTGAGGGAGGGACGGGGCTCCATGGAGGGGTGGTGATCGTGAGTGTAGGCAGTGCAGCCTGGGTCTGAGACACCGGGAGGTGCAGGACCTTGCCCACCTCAGAGGCGAGACCCAGCTAGACAGGGGGACAGGAGCCAGCCTGCTGAGGCTCATCCTGGGACCTTCCACCAGGAGGAGCCTTACTATCCAAAGAACGGGCCTAGCTCAGTGGACACACTGCACAGCCCACTGGGCATTGGTGACAGAGGGACAGCTGAGGCCTGGGGACCCAGACATGGGCACCGTGGCGTTGCCCCAGCAGGGCTGCTCCTAACCATGTCATTTTCTGTCCCCACAGGCCTCAGGCCCAAGCCCAAAGCCAAGTGACAGACCCTGTGGGCTCTGGACGTGCTGCTGAAGGGGGCCCTGCAGGGCCAGCTGGGACTGGGCCCTGGAAACGGAAACTCTGTGCCTTACCTGGCCAGGGACATGGGCTTCCTGGAGCCATCCGGAGGCCGTGGTCCCAGCCTGCCTGGCGCCCCCTGGCCTGCATGCACGCCCCCAGCCCCTTGTGGTCTGCTTTCCAAAGCTGATGCCTGCCCCTGCACCTGCACGCACATGGCGTCCACCCGCCCACACGCACAGGGAGTCAGGTGGCTGCGTCCCCGGGGCACCTCTAAGTTTGCACCCATTTTCCAGTGAGCCGGCACCCAGATTCTTCTGGAGTACAGGTCCTCGCAGACCCTTCCCCGGAAGCCAAGGGAGCCAGGCGGAGCTGGAGCCCCCACTCCCCACCAGACCCCACCCATGCTCCCCAGCTCTGCCTCCCAACCTGCTCAGCTGGGCTGGAACAGTGTTTTTAACCAAAATACGATTGCTTCTGCATTTCTGCTGTCCTGTGGTGGCTAAATTAGGGAAGGGTGGGTGGGTGAGAGCACCCCACGGCTTTGGGTAGAGGCAGGCTGGCCGACTGTGCTGTGGGCAGGACAGGGTCCCCCTGCTAGCAGACGGGCAGAGGACCACATGGCATTGGCCCCCACCCCAGTACATCCAGCACTGAGGGTGACAAGGTGTCTGCCCCTGCTGCCATGCCAGGACCTGGCCACCTTTTCAACAGGTGCTGCTCCCATCCCAATGGGCTGAGAGGAGGCATAGGGGACAGGAGGCTGCCACCTTTCCTCACAGACCCACCCAGCAAGGGGCAGCCTGCCCATGCCCCTGCCCGCACCCCAGGCCTGCTGCCAAGGCTGGAAGCTGGAGGGACTTGGACCAATAAAGTGCAGAGCTGGCCCAGCCTGCGTCTGTTGTGTTCGGAAGCTCTGTTCGGTGAATGTGGTGGGGGACTGAGCCCTCAACAGCTGCGGTGATGTGGGTGGAGGGAGGGATGGACAGAGGGGTGGACGGGTGGAGGGAGGAGTGGGCCTGGGGATGGTGAGGGGCAGAGCATGTGGCAAATGAGCCCCACAGCAGCGCGAAGATGCGCTGCGCTCCCCGGCGGCACTGTTCACACACGCGCTCACCCCGTAAGGGCATCGCTCAGTGACCAGCAGCTTCGCAAGATCATGCAATCCTCACTGTGGTCCAGGTTAGGATGTTTCTGTCACCCCAAAAAGTTCCCTCACACCCTCCCCCATCCCTGGCCCCCATGGACCTGCCTTCTGTCTCTACAGGTCTGCCTTTTGTGGACACCAGATAAGTGGAACCGTACAGTGTGTGGCCTTTTGTGGCTCCTTTCATTTGCACATTTTCCAGAGCATTCCTGTTGTAGCGTGTCGGCACCACCCCGTTTTCACAGCTGAGTAGCACCTGTTACATGGACAGAGCACGTTTATTAGCTGTTCACCTGTCAGTGGACACTGGCTGTTCCCAGTGAGGCTTTTGTGAACATGCCCTGTGACATCTGCATGGGGAGGGAACGGTGGGGTCTTAGGCTAAGTTTATGTTTAACTTCTTAAGAAATTGCCAAGTGATTTCCAAAGTGGCTGCAGCATTCTTCGTTCCAACCGTGCGCTGTTCCATCAAGTGGAAGGATACAAGCGTTAAGTGTGGGTGTCTGTGGATGGCATGGTCCCACGGTGCGGTGTGGACCCCACAGAGCGGAAACCCTGGTGGCCAAGTCCACGTGCTCCCAGAGGGCTTGCTGGAGGTCACGCAGTGGACCCCCAGGCTTGGTGACTCCTACTGCCACCAACCTGGGTGGTGTGGGGGCAGGGCTCTAATTCGGGCTGGGCCATGTGACTGGCAGGGCCCCAGCTGTGGCCTGGACAGGGCTGTTTATAGAAAGGCAGACTCCCCCAGGCCTGCTGACTATTTATAGACTGGGATTGGGGGACTTGGTACGGCAGCCAGTGCAGCCAGGTTTGGCCCCGCAGAGCCTGTCAACCCCACCCCATGGCCCCCCGAACCCCCTCACACTTGCTGGCGCAGAGCCCTGGGTCTCCCCCAAGAAGGGCTCAGAGCCAGTGCCCCCCCCCACCTTCAGCACTGCATCAGGGGGGGCAGAAGGAAGCACCGCCTCAGCTGATGTGACTCCAGCAAACGCCGCTCCGTGGCTCCACGTGACCAAAGGCTCAGCTTAATTTCATCTGGAAACAAGCAACGAAACCTCCAGAACCCTCTCGGCCCCTCCTACTATGATCCAGCCTCTTCCTCGTCCACCCGGGCACTAGGACTGTGCCCCAAATTCCCTCCTACCCGAAAACCCCCAGCCCCTGGCACAGCCCTGCCAGATGCCCCATCCTCAGCTGGCTGGGCCTTGAGTGGCATTCAGGGCCTCACGGCCAGCCTGGCACTGCTTCCCAGGGGCTGGTGGCCAGGGTGCTGCTCACTGCCCCCACCAGGCCGGCTGTCACCAAGGAGGCTGCCGACATGGTGCCTGCACCCCACACCCTGCCTGTAAGCCACATTGTGTAACCCCGCAACAATGCTGAGGGAAAGCAACTGTTGGTGCCCCTGTGTGAGAGGTGAGGGACCCGCACAGAGGAGCCAAGTGACCTGCCCAGGGTCAGAGGACGGGAGACAGAGGAGCAGCTGGGCAGCACAGCCCTCTGCTGGGGCTTGAGTCGTTCACTGTCCATGAGTGACAACCTGGGGTCCACGCCTCTCCTCCTGGGGAGCCTCTGGCCTCCCTGTCTCCAGCCTGGGAGCTCCAGGAGCCTCACCAACCCAGCAGCTCCAGGCCACTCTGCACCAAAAACCCAGGGTGGGGAGGGGTGGCCGGGCTCCCAGCCCTGGCGTGAAGGCCTAAGAGAGCACTGCTGCCCCCAGAGGACCATCCGTGTCCCCTTCTCCCAGCAATGGGGCTAGCCATGCCCAAGCCAGAGTCCACTTGGGACGTGTGTGGGGGTGGGTGGGCCAGGCAGTGCACCCAGCTCAGAACCCAGGAGCCCAGCAGACCATCACACACCTTCTCTGGGCACCCAGTCCCTCCACAGGCCTACGCAGGAAAGAGGTCTGCTCAGGACCTCAGGAGCCTTTCGGAGACCCTGGCCGCTCCCCTGCCCAGTCAGGTTACCCTGACAGCACAGGGCGGTCCCTTCTCCCCGGACTCAAGCTCTTGGGAACCGAGGGCAGCCCGGCTCTGGGATGGAGCTCGCGTGCTGGTACTGGCGCGGGCAGGCGCGGCCCTACAGCGAGCCCTATGCCAGACACTGGCCCCTGCCATATGGGGGGGGAGGGGGTAGAGGGGAACACGCTGTTCTCTCTCCCTCTCTCTTTCTCTCTCTCTCTCTCTCTCTCCCTCCCTCCCTCTCTCCGCGGCCACCAGAGGGCGCGCGCGCCGGTCCAGGGGACCTGGGTTCACCGCGGGTCAGGTGCGTGCCCCCAGCCCCGGGGTGTGCGTACCCTCCAGGTGGGGCGCAGAGACGAAGCTCCCCTTTTGCAAGGCGCACTCCCGCCCTGGAGGAGACCTCCGCAGTTCCGGGGACCCCGCAGGGCCCGCCGGGGCGGGTTCTCTGCGCCCAGGCCTGCCCCGGGGCGGGGGTCGCGAACGCCCCGGTGACGTTCGTGGGGCGCCCTGCCCAGGCCCGTGGGAGGGGCCCCCGGAGCGCGTCGTCAATGCTTGCGCCCCCAAAGCGCCCGCGGCCCACCTCGGCGCCTGGCGGCGGGGGCGGGACCGGAGGCCGGAGGTCAGCGAGCGTCACGGGCCCGCCCCCGCCCGGGGCAGCGCCTTTTAATGGCCGGGGCGCGCGGGTCGGCGGGCTCTCCGGCGGCCCAGCGCAGCGGACGGGCCGAGCAGCATGTCGGCGACTCGAGCCTCCAACGATCGGCCCTCCGGCCCGGGCGGCGTCAAGCGGGGGCGGCTGCAGCAGGAGGCGACCACGACCGGCTCCCGGGTGACTGTGGTGCTGGGCGCGCAGTGGGGGGACGAGGGCAAAGGCAAGGTGGTGGACCTGCTGGCCACGGACGCCGATATCATCAGCCGCTGCCAGGTGCGCCGGGGCGGTCCCCCACCCAGACAGACGCGGCCCCGTCCTCCCACTCAGACTCCGACACGCCTCTTGGAGTCCTTCCCTGCGGGGACACCTTCCCGGGGGCCACCCCCACCCACTCACACATGCACACAACACCCACTCAGGCCCTCACACTTCCCTCCCTGCACGAGACACCCCTCCCCCACTCCCTCCCCTGGGCCAGGGGATGAGCTATAAATACAAGTGTTGCTGAGTTGGGGACACCCGATCCTCAGGGGGTGGGTGGGGTGTCTCATGGGTGTGACACTGGGCCCTTCAGTGGGGGAGGGCGGCGGGGGACCTCAGCTTCCCTGAGGGTCACCAAGACACACCCATCCCTCATTCCCTCTGGCATGGGACTGGCTGACTCCACAAAGGGTTCATGTACCAAGAGGGCTGAGTGATGGGGGGAGGGGCTCTGTGGGTCAGCGACGCTTTTCTGGGAGGCGGTGACCTGAGGGGTCAACCAAGAAGGGAGAGAAGTAAGGGCATGTCAGTGGGAAGGACGTGAGGGAAGTCAGAGCAAGGACAGGAGGGTCCCGGCTGGACGTGGGGAGAAGGAGGAACCACGGACCTCTGGGCCAGGGTGACCCAGTGGCTGGCAGTGCCACGGAGGAGGCAGACACAGGCTTTGTCCCCTGAGGGCCCAGGACAGGGCCTCTGCCAGCTGCAGGCTGCTCTCAGCACTCTCTGTTCTGATGGACCCTGAGCTCTCCCTGGGGGGCCACTGCCCCATTGCCAAGGCTGCCAAGCCACACGTGCCACTGTGGGCTGACCTAGGGCTTGGACGCAAAGGGTTGGCTTTGGGGTGTCGGCATTGGAACTACTGGGGTTTGCTGCTTAAAACAGGGAAGGAATGCATGCCAAGCTGGGGCTCAGAGCCCTCTGAGACGGGGTGGGCCCAATGCACTTGTCCGGGGAAACCTCCACAGCCAGACCACTCCTGCTGGAGGCCCACAGTGGGTTCCTGGGAGGTGCTTCCTAGGACCACGGACGGTCTCCCACCCTGTCTCTGTCCTACGCCACTGAAAACAAGCCCATACACTCTCCTGAGAGCCCCAGGTGCCAGAGGCAGCTGTGTGCTACTGTGTATGTGAGGGTTCCTTGTCCCCCGAGACTGGTGCATGGTCAGTGGGCGGCTGCTCCTGTCCCCTCCTGCCCCCCCCAGCACAGGACACCCCCTCCTCCACCTGTGTGCTCCAGTGAGCCCACGGCCCTCCATGTAAACTGCCGGCTCGGGTCAGCCCATCTCCCCTCCTCGAAGTGACTTTGCAGTTAGTTACTCTCGATACCCTCCTGTTGATGCCGCCAGCCTTCCCTGGCTGTGGAGATGGCTCTGGAACAGAACTCTCCCTGCTCTGCCACCTGGGTCAGCAGGCCAGGCCCTGCCCACTGCCATTACTTGAAAGAGCTGCAGGTGGGACCAACCACAGGGGCCAGGCTAGGGCCTGAGTCCCATATGGGTGGCTGCTGAAAAGGCTGCAGCCGGCCAGCCCCCGTGACCGGGTCACCTGGCCTGTCACCTGGGCTTGGGGCCATCCCAAATGGTGGCTGCGTCCCCTACGGTTGCCCTGTCTCCATTCCCATCTCAGTCACTTGGGGCCTGTGGCCAGCCTGCACCCCAGGAGCCCCCAAGACCTTCCTTACCATCCAGTCTTGGGCCTTGGGTTCCTCCTGCCGTTCTATTCGCCTCCAGGACCCGTTTCCAGGGCAGCCTCCCTTCCTGTTTGCTAACTGTTGACCGCTGACCTGATGTGGTGTCCCGGTCCCCGCCCACGGCTGCCATGCCTTCTCACCCTCAGCAGCACTCCCCAGCCGCATTCAGGGCCTGTGGGGGGCTCCGGCGCCCTGCCTCGCACGGGCACCCCTCCTGCCCCAGTGCCACCTTCTCTTCTCACCCCCAGTCCGGCCCCCAGGGCTGGGCTGTGGCCTTGCTGGCCTGTGCCTTTCCTCTTTCGTGGCTTCCCGCTGTGGCCACCTCACAGTGACCCCGAGACCATCATCAACCGTCCTGTGCTGTTGTTCTCTGTGCTCTCTGCTGAGACACAGGGACCATGAGCTCTGCTCACCTGCTTTCTGGGAGTCCCTGCCCCTCTACTGCCCAGCTCCCCCTTTCTGTGCTCCTTCCTGCTGCCTGACCCCACCCCCCAGGCCCAGGCAGGAGCTAAGGGCCCGCCCACCTCACTGGCCATCACAGTTTCCCCTGCTGCACCCTGTCCCCAGCCTGGAGGTGGCCCCAGGTCCACGGTAGCCGGCTGTTCACTCCCAGCCGTTCCTCCATGTCCAGAGTTACCTTCGTCAGAGGCTTCTGGCCACTGAGGCAGGATTTAGAACCCACCCTTCCGACTGCAGTGAGGACGTCACCAGGGCTCAGTGTGCCCTCCGGGCTCGGTACAGGGCACCCTGCTGGGTTTCTCTTGGTTTCCACAGGAGCTTTTATGCCACCACCCCCCTCTGGCAGGGCTGTGTCCTGCCGAGGTCCCCTGTGAAGGGCAAGCCAGCCTCAGGCTGGTGGTGGAGAACTGCGGTGATGTGCAAAGTGGCCTCACTCATCAAGGGCCATGTCCTGCAGCTTGTCGGTGCTCTGGGGCCTCTCTCCAAGGGATCTGTTGGGGAACACGTCACCATGCCCCCCGGGCTGGTCCAGGGGCCTCTGGGGGCAGAGGGGCAGCTGCTTGGGGCCTGGAACGCCTGGTGTTGCTTCCAGAAGCAGGCCTCCCTCCACATCGGCACCCTCAGATGGCACTGGTCACCCACTGGAGAGCAGCTCCTGGTTTGGGTTGAATGAATGAGTGGCAGGAACCTGTTGGCTGGTGCCAGACCACGTGGAGCCCTGCATCACTTGCGGGGGGCCTTCGTGGCTTCACCCAGGCATCTCCACCCTGAGCACAGGCTGGCTGAGTGGCATGCACCATCCTGATGAAACCTGCCTCCTGCCGACCACCCACGGCTTCCGAGGGGCTGCCGACTCCCCTGCCCTCACCTCTCTGCTCCCTTTGTCCACTCGTCCTGCACACGGAGATGGAAGAGCTGGTTTCTGTCCCAGACAGGAGCTCACTTCCCTCGGCCCTCAGTGCTGACGACAGGGTGGGGCAAGGGGCTGCCTCACAGGGGAGAAAGCCAGGTGGGCCCCCCCTGAGAACCTAAGTGGGTGCTGTGTGGCCAAAGGAGCCATTCTGAGCCATGTGGAGACCTGTGTGGTGTGGGGAGCTGGTGGCTGAGTGGGTCATGCGGGGTGGGGTACCTGGCAGATCAGAGGTCAGTGGGGGGCTTCCAGGCACATAGGGTACGAGGCACAAGGGCTGTGAAAGGGGGCCAGGAGCAGGACAGACACTAGAGAGCGAGGCTGTGGACACACGTGAGCGACAAGGCCCACAGGCATAGCTCACTCCATCCCGAGAGTCCCACTGGTGTTGAAACTGGGGGCAAGGAGGGGCGTGGAGAGGCACCCCCAACAGGGACATCGGGGTTGGGTCTCAGGGCTGCACGAACCTTGGGGTGTGAAGGGGGGTAGCAGAGGCTACATGAGGCGGGAGGGTCTCTAGATGCAGGTGGGGGGGAGCATTAGGGTATGTGTTGCATGTCCCAAGGTCACCACTCAGGATCTCTGGGGACAGGCTGTGCACGGAGCTGAGCCCAGGCAGCCCCAGGACAAGAGCACCCCTGCTGGGCCTGGGCCCGCCGTCCCTGGGCTCCAAGGAGAGTGAGCCAGTCAGATACGTGCAGGGCCAGGAAGTTCAGAGCTGGTCAGACTCCCCAGTGGGCCGGCTTGGCTTGGTCCTGTTACCGTGTCCAGAAGTGAGAACACCCTCCTTTCTCAGATCCCTGCCAGGGAGGCAGCTGACATCCACGGGGACTTTGAGTGACTGGCCAGGCCAGGCAGGGGGCAGTGGGGGTGGCTTCAGCCCCCGGGGAGGCTTGGACCTGTGCCTGACCCAGGCTCCAGCCCACAGGGGAGAAGCCGGAGGGGCTACGGCCCGCCTCTGCGCCCCACCCCTGCTGACAGGGCCATTCTCCCAGGGACATGGAAGTGGGGTGCTACTGAGCAGATGGCGATGCTGAGGCCTGGGAATCCCCAGGACTGCCCTGAGGTCCCGGGAGTGCCCTGGCGCACTGTCACAGGGCACTGGGCATGCAGCCCCTGGAGACTGCACACCCGGGACAGAGGCTGAGAGCAGCCCCGGAGGTAGGGCCACTCCTCAGAGGCCTCAACAGTCCTCGTGTGTCTCATGGGGACCCTGGGCAAGTGCCCCCTCCATGTGGTTTTCCAAACCAGCCCACAGCCTGAGGGCGCAGAGCCATCCCCCCCCCCAGCTGACCGGTGCCATTTGGCCCAGCTGTCCTCGCCCCTGCAGACAGCAGCCAGGCCAAAGCCTGAGGACGGCAGGTAGTGTCCCTGCCCCGACCTTGTCACCAGCCCACGTGCAGCCTGGGGGAGCACAGACCAGGGTCTCTGGGTAGTCAGCAGGCCCTGGGCTCAGCACTGGGCTGGCTCACGCACCTGGGAGTGGACTGTGGCCTGACGCCTGGGCCCTGCAGCTGGCAGGGGTCATCTGATGCCCACTGGTCCACAATGGCCTGTGCCTGTTCCTAGGCACCCATGTTTACCCCAAACAAAGGTGGGGCTCTGCTCAGAAGCACTTCATGCCTGCGTGTGTGTCCTCGGGCCAGCAGACGTTGGTGCTGGGCACTCAGCAGGGGAGGGAGTCAGGGTGTCTGGGCTGCTCTGGCCCCCAGCCTGGCAGGCAGGACTCAGCTGTGGGCAAATGTGTGGCATACGGGGTACAGTGTCTACAGGGAGGCAGTCTGGCCTGTGCTCTGCCGCAAACCCCATTTTCTGGGGACCTCAGTTTTCCTTTCTTGTCTGTGGACACCGCGTGCCCCAGGCTGCGATTGTGGGTGCAACCGTGGGTGGAGAACCCTACTGAGGGGACTCACTACCCGCGTGCCCACACAAGGATATTGCAATGATGGGATCTCTGGGAGGGCACAGTGACACCACCACACCCGGGTCCTGCCAGTCACGCGTGGGCTGTCTGAATTCCCAGCCTCCCAAAGGACTGAACCAGCACCCCAGGGCAGGGCTTGGGTCTGCTGGAAGCGCCAGTGACCATTCTGATGGCCAAGGCTGAGCCCCCAGCCTCTCTCCCCGTCCCCAAGCCTGGCCCACGTCAGCCTTCCTCATCTCCCCTCCGGCAGCCCACGAGGCTCACCTCCCAGCACCATCTCTGTCCTCAGCCCCCAAGGCCTGGTGCCACCTGCCCACCCTCGCTTGTGGGGCATCCCTTCTTGGCCCCAGGCCCCCCCACCCCCTTTGCTCTCCTGCTCCCCCTGTCACTTGTGCAGTTCCCACAGCCAAGCACCTGGAAATCCCTGGGCCCCTTGGCCTCTGCTGACCACGGGGCGCCTGGGGAAACAGCAGGTCCGCCCTTGGGAGCCAAGCTGTGGGACACCCGGACAGCGGTGACCCCAAGAGTCTGAGAGGGCAGACCTGCTGTGCTCGGCCTCCACACCCTGGGTCAGCAGCACTGGGGACAGCCCGGGAGAGACCTCCCACATGCGTGTCATGAGCAGGCCCCCTGGTAGAATTGGTTTTCAGCAGGGCCCTGGAGGGCAGAGCAGGCAGGGGAGCGGGAGGTGGGTTAGGGCTCCAGCCCCACTGAATGCAGCGATGTGGACATGAGGCCCAGGAGGGAGTGCCCCTGGCCCGGGGCCTGCCGGCGTCTGCCCCTTGCTGCCCCAGGTGCCCCGTGCCGCCTGGCTGGGCTGCTTCAGTGGAGCTGGCAGACCAGCCTTGCGTGAGGAGCAGGTGCTCCCGGTGGGGGAGGAGGCCTTTCCTGCAGCCCTGCCTGGGGCAGGGTGGGCCCTGCAGGGCGCCTGAGGCCCCAGTAGCCTGCAGCCCACCACCCCTCTGCAAGGCAGGAGGACGGCAGGGTGGAGGCCCGGGAGATGCAGGCAGGCGGGTGGGGCAGGGCCAGGCTGGGCTGGGCTCTGAGGCCCTGGGGACAGAGCAGGCACAACAAGAGGCAGGTCTGTGGAGATGGGCCCCAGCAAGCTTGTGACCCTCCCTGGAGGGCCTAGTGCCCGCCATCCCTCTGCCACTGGACCTTCCTGGGGCTCCCCTACCCATCCCCACTGACCCCAACCCACGCTCAGCACAAGACCCATAAAGAGGAAAGCCTGTGGCCTGTGTGTCCCTCAGAACAGGGCTGGCCTCAAAATTGTGTTTTCCTCTTTATTCTTATATGGGAGGCTGGGCCCAAAGGGAGGGGTCCCTGCCGAGGGGGTGAGGGGCTCTGGCCCCACTGGCCCATCATGGTACCTGCCCCCCTCACCTGTCCGCCACTGTACAGCTTGGGCTGTGTGCAGAGCGGCAGTTTGGGCCCTGGGGGCCTGTGTGTGTGCCTCCCGGAAGGGTTGGGCCCCCTCATTCCTGCATCAGAGGAGGGACCCCAGAGGGGCTCTGAATGTCCCAGCTTCAGGGGCCTGCACTGAGACACCTCCTTGGGACATTGACACGTGCCCACGAGGCAGTCTGGTATTGGAACCAGCCCCTGCAGCTGTCCAGGGAGCCGGGCACTAACCCAGCAGAGCCCAGACACGCATCAGAGCCGACCACTGGGCCTGGCTGCCCAGGTCCATGCACGGACTCGGGGGACAGAACCGCCACCCCGAGCAGCCCAGAAGCGTCTCCTGAGTCCCTGCTGTCGGAGCTGGTCTCGCCAGCCTGCCGGGGTGGTCCAGGCCCCGGGACTTCTGGACACTCAGCCGGATCTCTGTCCCCAGGGGGGCAACAACGCTGGCCACACCGTGGTGGTGGACGGCAAGGAGTATGATTTCCACCTGCTGCCCAGTGGCATCATCAACTCCAAGGCCGTGTCCTTCATTGGTGAGTGCCAGGCGCTTTGCGGGAATCACGTGCTCCGCCCCACGCGGGAGCCTGTCCTCTGCCTGTGGGGCAGGTGGAGGTGCCGGGGTCAGAGGGGGAGAGGACGCAGGGCCCCGTGGAGCTCCCAGACCCCCCGGGGGTGCTGAGCAGGTCTGTGTGCGTGAACTGGGTGCGTGTGCTCCGTGCGTGTGCATGTCTGCACGTGTGTGTGCGTGTGCATGCCTATGCGTGAGCATGCCTGCATGCGTGTGTGGGTGCGACGGGCCTGGCTTCCTGCTGTGTGGATGGAGCCAAGCCTGTGAGGGGATGCTGTGTTTTTCCTGTCTCCTGCATGAGGGTCCATGCTGTAGAGAGATCGCGCTCCCCTCTGCAGCCCCCTGCCCCCAGCCATCACCCTTGCGCTCCCTGCAGGCACCAGTGACATTTTAGTGCCCCTGAGCTACAGCTGCCTCTAGGATCGTGAGGACCTCTCCCTCTCCATCCTCCTCTGTCCCTGTCCCTCTCTGCGTCTCTCTTTCCCTCCATGTGTGTATTTCTGTCTCCTCTCCTCCCCACTGTGGTCACAGGGCCTGACTGCCCGTCCTGGCCTCAGCTCCTTGTCTCCCTTACTCAGAGACGCTTGCTCTGGTTCCCAGGCCCAGGGGACATGCTCTCGGCACTTCAGTACTTTTCCTTCTGGCTCTTTCCATGACTCATCACACTGGTGACCCTTCTGCACCCGCCCCTCCTGCTCAGGAAGTCAAGGCTGCAGGGCCGGAGTGTGCCGGGTGATGGCGTAGGGGCCGGCCCCCTGCATGTGAGACGGGAAGGGGACTGTGGGCGTGGGGCTGCATGCAGTCGAGAGAACAGGGACACCAAGTGCCTTCTCCATGTGGGTGCAGACTCAGGCCCCAGCAGTGGGTGAGGACACACGGTGGCAACCTGCAGTTCGCATTGGAGACCCAGGCTGTGCTCCCAGCCTGGGCCTGGCAGGGCGGAGCCCTGCTGCAGGAAGCCCCCAGTGCCAGCCTATCTGCTGGGTCCCCGCTTGCAGGGCCCAGGAGGCACCGCTTGCTGGGGAGGGTGCTCTGCTGGGTCTCGAAGGAGCTGGGGACAGGTCAGGCCAGGCAGTCACCAGGGAGCGTGGGTCAGTGTGGCCAGACAGTGTCCAATAAGCAGCCTTAACAGAGGTGGACCATGCGGGAGCTCACACGGCTGTTCCTCAGCTTTCGGCGCCCCAGGCCCTTCCCATGTGGCCATTTCAGGATGCATGGCATTTAGGTGACCTTTTGTGCTTGGTGTGGCTTGCGTAGTCTCTGAGTCACTCCAGTCTGCACCCATGCCCTGTCTTCCTTGGCCAGCTTGTGCCACCGCCAGCCAGCGGGGACCAGCACAGGAGAAGGCGGCCCAGCCCAGCAGCTTGTGGTCTTGGAGGAGAGGGCAGCACTCAGCTTTACCTGCCCCCTCATGAATGTGCTGTGTGACCTCGGGCTGGTCTGCCCATGCGGGTTCCCCTTCGGTTTCATGGGGACGGGGCAGCACGGCTCCTAGGGGCCCGCTGGGCCCTGGAAGGGGTTGGGGTGCATCACTTCACTCTCCCGCTGTCCGCCATTCGAATAAACGGTGACCACTTCATTGGGCAGAATTCATGGGCCATGTAGCTCACTCACAGTTGTGCAGCCATCACCACAACTTGGTTTCAGAGCACTGTCGTCACCCCGAGAAGTTCCCCCGCGCCATTTGCTGGTCGTCTCCCTCCCACCCAGCCCCACCACCGCCCTCTGCTCCATAAACACTTCGGGCTGGGTTGTTTTGTTTGGACCTTTTCTTTTATTGTGATGAAATACACATAACACAAATGTCCCACCTTAGCCATTTTAAGTGCACAGCTCGGTGGCACTAAGCACATCCACACTGTCATGCAACCATCCCCACCATCCGTCTCCAGAACTTTCTCATCGTCTCAATCGGAACCTCTGTCCCCATTAAACACTCACTGCTGATCCCCCCGCCCCCAGTCCCCGCACCACCATCTACTTCCTGTCTCTGGACCTGACTCCTCCAGGGACCTCATATGCGTGGGTCACACAGGATTTATCCCCCTGTACCTGCCTTATTTCACGTTATATAGTGTCCTCGAGGTCCATGCGTGCCGTGGCAGGTGTCAGAGTCTGTCCTTTTTAAGGCTGGGTGACGTCCATTTGTGGATGGGCCCATTCTTCTTACTCATCGCCCGTTGTGGACACTTGGTGGCATCCACGTCCCGGCTGTTGTGGATGCGCCGCTGTGAGCGTGGGGTGCAGATTGCGGGCCATTCTAAACACGAGGGAGGCCCAGGGTCCGTGTTACAGTTCAGCCTCGTGTCTGTGTGTTGCAGGCAACGGGGTGGTCGTCCACTTACCAGGCTTGTTTGAAGAAGCAGAAAAGAATGAGAAGAAAGGTAGGTCCCAGTGCCCGGGGCAGTGCCCTGTCCCAGCCCCTGAGTGTCCTCAGCGGCCGTGCTGGCTGGCACCTCGCTGTGCATTTTCTCTGGCGGGCCAACCCTGCCTATAGAAAAGGACTTGGTTCCTGGGGCTCCTTGGGGACAGGGGGTAGGTAGGCAGTGACTGAGGCCACCACCCAGGCGCCCAGGTGAGCCGGACCCTGTGAGGGTGTCTAAAGGCAGGCTGACCATGAAGCAGCAGCCCTGAGACCCCAGAGGGTCCACAGAGGAAGCAGAGCCTTCGCCTCAGGACTCAAGTTCAGGGCAGGTGTGATAAACGCCTGTGGGAACCTGGCCTTGGCACCAGGAGGCGCTGCAGGTGGCCGGCCAGAGGCCCTGGGGGGATGTGGGTGGGCTACCTGAGGGGAAGGGTCTGGGACCGCCAGCGGGGAGAGAGACCATGAAGGGGGACCTGTCACTTGCTGCATGCCAGAGGTGACCATGGTGGCCCCTTGCAGAGTAGGGGGTGCGGGGCGAGAGCGGGTGAGGGGGCCAGCCTGCACCCTCACCTGTGCCTATTGCCGCAGGCCTCAAGGACTGGGAGAAGAGGCTCATCATCTCTGACCGAGCCCACCTCGGTGAGTGCCTGCCCTCCCCGCCTGCCCGCCCCTTGCATACTGACCCCCCGCCGTGGCCCTCCTCCCTGGCTGCACAGCCCCCCTAGCTCCGCATGGCCTCCCTGGGCAAGGTGGGCACTAGGTCAGGTCACTGTCCCCATGGCAGATGGGAAAACTAAGGCCCAAGGGGACTCACATGAGTTGGTGGGGAGCAGAGGCTCGATCCAGTTTGTCCCCTTTCCAACTGGCCCGCCGCTCCGTGGAGGCCCGGGTGTGTGGCGGGGCAGCAGGGGCGGCCTGTAACCCTCCCTCTGCTCCTCTCGCCCCCGGCACCCTCACTGGCCCCGCAGTGTTTGATTTTCACCAGGCGGTGGACGGGCTCCAGGAGGTGCAGCGGCAGGCCCAGGAGGGCAAGAAGTGAGTACCAGCGCTTCTCTTGGCTGCTTAGTCCACTAGCTGGTGTCCTGGGGGTGTGTCCCATCCAGTGTGACAGGAGGGGAACCTGCATCCCCTCAAAGCTCCTGGAGAACAGCCCCGTTAGACCCCAAAGCCCGAATGCACTGCCTCTTGCCGGGTCACCCCCGAGGAGTGCATGTGCTATCTGGCACCTGCCATGCCCGCTGCCACTGCTGGGATCCTGGGCCAGCCTTGACCCCACCCAGGGCCTCAGCTCCATATGCACCCAAATCCTGCCCCACAAGCACCTGATGGTGATACACTTGTCTACCAGTGACATTTGTTCTAATGAGCTGGGACTCGGTCACAGAACCAGGAAGGGACAAAGCAGACGAGCATGCACTACACACACGCGCGTGCACACATGTGCAAACACACACTAACACACGTGTGCACATATGTTGCATACCCATACTTTACACCTGTGTGCACTCACGTGAGTATGCACATGTGCACACTCACACGCATGCACATACACTAACTCATGTACACACACTTAACATGTGCACGTGCACACATGAGTATGTACACACACATGCACACACTCGCACACGTGCACACTAGCACTCTTGCGTGCATGCACACTCATGTTTTTACACATTCATGCGCATGCACCCTCACACCTGTGCACACATACTCATGTGCCAGGCAGTGGGTACAGGGTGGGCACAGCTGGCTGCCAGTCTGAGGAGGCAGCATCCTCAGTGCCAGTTGAGAGGGATGCTTGGTTAGAACGCAAATGGGACGGGAGGGCCCCATAGGCAACTGGGTCCCAGAGTGGAGGCGGCGAGATGAGGGGAAGGTTAGTTTGGGGCTCAGAACCATCTACCACCGCCCAGCCCTTGGGTTCCTGAGAGGTGGCCATTCAAGGAGTCTGGTCGGTTCTCACAGCCACCCAGCCCCTGGGTGCTGCTGCTGACATGTCACCCAGGGGAGGAAGCTGAGGTCTGGAGGGCTAGCAGGGACCCCAAGTTTCCAGGCAGGCTCCGGTGCTCACAGCCGCCCCCTCTCTCAGCATCGGCACCACCCGGAAGGGAATCGGACCGGCCTACTCGTCCAAAGCAGCCCGCACGGGCCTGCGCATCTGTGACCTGCTGTCGGACTTTGATGAGTTTTCCGCCAGGTACCTGCCTGCCCACAGCCCCAGGGACATGCTAGTGAGGAGGGGCTCGGGGATCCAGCAGAAACGAGGGGTCCCAGTCACTGTCACCTCTGCAGATTCAAGAACCTGGCCCATCAGCACCAGTCCATGTTCCCCACTTTGGAAATAGACGTTGAAGGTCAACTCAGAAGGCTCAAGGTAGAGCTGGGGCGGCCGGGCAGCGTGTGGCTCTAACAACTAGCCGACGTCCCTTGAACATGCACGGAGCACACCCGTTGCAAGGCATTATTACGGGGCGGCTGGCCTTCTTGGGGA